CAAAGAGCCAGAAGTAGTGTGACCATGAGCGAGACAGCCACCCCCTGGCCTGACTGGCTCTGGTGCCCGGCTTGAGAGCTTTCCCCTTGCTGCACTGGAAAGGCCAGAGGCCGCACACCTTCGAGCCCAGCACAGCACGCCCGACGCCCACACAAGGAAGGACTGGGACAGAGCAGGGGCTCCAGCCATGAAGGAGGAAGCGGGGCCTGCAGAGAGCGGGACCAGGCAGCCGTCCCCTGGCGGCAAGGCGGCCTTACCTTTCCGGGAGATGCTCCGCCCACTTCAAGTGCCCACTGGAGAGGTAGTGCAGGGCAAGCGTCGTCCTCTTCAGCACCGCCACGAACCTCACGGACTCCTGCAGGCCTGCCAGCCCCAGCGCCTGGAAACTGAGCACAGGCACAGGGTGGGCGCGGCCCGCGCCTCCAGAGCCTCGCACTGGAGCAGACGGACTGGAACGCTAGCCCTGTGGCTGGGCAGGCGAGAGAATGGGCCTGGGGGTCCAACACGGGTGCCTCTGGTGAGCACACCTGGAGACAGCTCTTGGACCACTGGCCGTCCTGCTTCCCTCACACCCCCTGAACCTCCTGAGGATCGTTCCCTCCTTCTGCTGGGCCTCACAGCAACCAGGCCAACCCTCCACCATGGCAGCCATCAGGCAGCGCTGCCGTTACTGGGTCACAGGCCTGCCCCATCCCCAACTGACTAGGAGTTCCTTGGTGACAGAATGTCTCACGTTCACAGGCAGGTCCCCACTGCCTGAGGGCTCCCCAAGTGTTTACGGAATAAGTGACTATCGGGTGTAGAAGCTAATGCAAATGACCCTATCATTGAAACAGCCTTAGCAAAGATGCAAGTTAAAGCACTGAAAGTATTACACTATGTCCTTGCATGTGGAACACTGCAAAGTTCTCAAGTCAAGGTGGGATTAGGAAACACAGTCAAGTGCGGCAAACACTGTGCCCAGCGCAGAGCTCTGCATCTGACAGGTGCTCAGTAAGTGCTGGCTGAGCAAACACGCATGTTCCCCCAACTCAGAAACACCAAACTGGGTGTTTAATGCTCTTTGGCTCTGTAGTGCTCCCTAGAAAAGAGCCGGAAGGCCCAGAGCTGCGGTCCAGGCTGACCTGTCTGTGCTCCAGCAAAGCTCTGAGCCAAGCCCAGGTGAAATGCAGTGGCTGCCCCCTACCTGCCACTGTCCAAGGTAATCTCCCAGTTCAGGCCCCCGATGTTAGTCTCCCAGGAACGCATGATCCGGCCTCCGTTGGACACGGTGATTGCATCTGGAAGAGAAAAGACCATGGTGACATCACCTCCCCAGCTGCAGCTCTGGAGCCTCCTAGGGCCCGTTAGCAGTGGCCTCACCTCCAACATGTGAGTGCAACTAAGAGCCATTTGCATGCCTGTTCTTTCCTGTTGGGAATACCCCCTCTCCTCTCCCTGCCAGACCCTGGGCAAGGAGGAAGCCAAGGAATGGCGGGAGGGAGCTGAAGCCACGACTGAAATAAAGCGGAGTCTGCTCACCCTGCCCGTGCAGCAGCATGGCGTCCACTGTCCCCTCCGCCGTGCCCTTGTCAACATGGCGCCACACTGCGAGACAGGAGAGTCAGACGTTACTACGAACTGAATAGAGGCATCCAAGAAGACGGGTAGGAGAGAGCAAAGAGGTCTTCACTTGCACAGCCGGGTCCCATTTTCTTTGGAGGGCGGAAAGGACCACAGATAACTGGCAGTGAGCCACCCCCACTCAGCGGGGAACGAGGGGAGGAGCTGCCGCTGCCCCAGTCTGAGAGCACTGCACTTCCGCCCCCACTGCCGCCCCACCAAGCACAGAAATGAACCGTGACACTGTTAACAAAATCCATACGAGTCACAAGAAAAAGAGTGATTATAAGTTACATATCCATGATTTTGGTGCCGAAAAACATCCATAAAAGCAGTTCAGGTGGGAAGGGGCAATCCAAACCTTTAGTGTAAAATAGAGTAACATGTCTTTGCAGCAATGTCTAAGTTAAGAATACTCAGGGCTTGGGCTGAGGGAATAAACCACGAAGGCCAGTGATAGGAATATATTAAGTGATTAGACTGAAAAGAAAATTGTCCGAATCCAGTAAGAGACGCATCTTCTGGCCAACTCGCCCCTAACTTGGGAACCAGCCCGGCAGACTTGCAAGCCGCAGACCACGCTAGATTCCCTACGCTCAGCCATGCTGTCCGGAGCTAACGGGTCTTCCCAGGCCACTCACAGATCTCCCCGGTCCGAGAATTTAATGCTGCGATCACATTCTTCTCCGTGGCCACAACCAACTTCTTGGATCCAGGGGAAAATTCCAAGGAGGCAAATTTGAGCTTCCCGACATACTGCTGTCTCCTAAAGAAAAATGTAAAGTAAAGGGCCAAAACCATTACCGCGCAGAGCACTTTGGGAAAAGACCCAATCACAGCCTATCGCCATCATACGGGTGTAGGTGAAAGGTCTGTTAGTGAGGAGATCTGACCCACAGCACGATTTCTATGCAATGTGGTCAGAAGCAAAGGCAACAAGAAGGCACCTAACAGCTGAGAAACACAAGCCTTCCTGCTAAATGTCCGCACATGTTTATCTCAAGACGAATGACACCCAAAAGAGCGCCTGGCCTAAGCCCTCTAGAACAAACCTTACAGCTGTCTCTGCATTCATTAACAGTGGGCCTCCTGCTATGCTCCTACTACACGCTAGGCACGCTAGGCACTTCTACTACACACTAGGGAAAAGACACAGACCCTGTTGTCCATGAACATACAATCCAACTTTCCTTCTACCTTCACTGACCTCTGAGCAAAAAAAAAAAAACTAAACACATTTTCCAACAAAACTCCATAAACTGGGTCCGGCTTTGTTCTCTACAGCCTTTTCTAGCCCATGCCATGTTCAAGACCCCTTTGACCCTTTGCTTACACTTTCTTGGGATTATTATCCCGGCACTTTTAACACTCTGACCTAAGCATGAAGGGGATGTAATTAGCTTTGTGCGGCAGACTGCCAAGTACACAGGAGGCACCTGCACACTGCTGCTAATGAATAAGTACTGAATTCTTTAGCAAGTTAATCACACATGGTGCTTACACTGAATTTCTCGCCATGGTGTTGTTTGGTCATTTTTTTTCAAAGAAGAAACTAAACTGGTAGTGGGAGACAGGCTTACATTACATTTAACAGTTTCTACCAGTATTTCCGCATACGTTAGTCTCGCAGAATCCAGTGAGCACTCTGACGTTTGTAGGGCAATTATTACTCTCATTTCACAGGTAAGTAAACCAAAGTCCACCGAAGTCAACGAATTACTGTCAGAGCTAGAATGTAACACTAAGACCTGACTCTAAATCTCATGCTGACTGTGGACATGTGAAATATACATAAAAGTATAAAGAAGAAAATAAAAAGTGCCCCACATATCACCACCATAAACTTATTAATGTTTTGGAGTAGTCCCTTGTTTATTTTTCAACTTGTAAAATGCATATACCTAGTATTCTGCTAAATTGGAACCATACTGTAATATGCCGCGTATGTGTGATACATATTATATCATGAGCACTTTGCCTGATTCATTAAAAATGTGACTTCCGTTGAATTTGTCACACCTTATATCAGACACTTTGAGAGCAGGTCATTGTCTCATTGTAACAATTTGCCACGGGGACTGAACTCTTATTTATATCAATTAGCCTATGATAAAATTGCTTTTGATGTATGTCATTTTATTTAAAATTGCTGAACCTATTGAGGAAGTTACATGAGAACTTACTGAGTATCTGCCCCATGGGCTCCTTCACGTCTCTGTACCCACAGCACGGAGAACAACCACTGGCCCACTACAGCCACTCAACAAATATGTGCATTAATGTGTCTGATATAGAAAGATTTCACTGAGCTGGGCTCTGAAGGTTAAAATGTCCCCTAAATAGTAAAAAATAATGGGTAACATTTACTGATTGCACTCAATGAGCCAGGCATTGTGCTAATTTATGGGAATTGTCTCATTCATCCTTACAACTACTGTAGCAGATAATGGAGAAGTTTAGTAGAGAATATTTACAAATAAAGAAAACACAGTACAGAGCGGTTAAGTCCCTTTGCCAAGATCACACAACCCTTAAATGGCAAAACTGAGATTCAAACGAAAGCAGGCGGACTCCAGGGCCTCAAGGAAAGAGGTAGAGGGAGGGAGGTGAGTGAGTGAATGGCACCTGTTCTGAGACCAGAGCTGGGTTGCCCTGGGAGGGAAGGGGAAGAGGACTCCCTTTAGGGCTTCTAACAACCCCTACGGTCCTGTTCATATGCCCAAGAGAGGCCAATTAGAGGACCAATAAGTGTTCTTGAGGATTGACGGCCTCTGGCACGCAGATTGGAAACCTGACAGTCATAGAAATGCGACCTGACGGAGGAGGAAAGACCAGTGATCTCTGACCTGAAGCCCAGGAATGCCTCAATGTCAGGCCGGCTTCAAGGGCTTGCTAGCTGTGCAGTCACACGGGAAGGGTTAGAAGCGCCCCAACGTTTGGTTAACGCTCTGCTGTCGCAATAGTAAAGACATCGTAAATCCACCGTAAAACTCCACTTTTGGGCAAGGGTCCCGCGTTTTCCTTTTGCACTGTGTCCTGCAAGTTATGGAGCCTAGCCGCACCTGCTGCATGGTAACCCTTCGCCCTTTACCAGGCAGAAGACAGGCACTGGGAAAATAGCCACCTATTTCCCGAAGGGGTCCCACACGTACGCACCAATCAAACTTGCCCACTTGGTCTTCATAAACCGCAGCCGCAGGGATTAGCAGGGCAGCCCAGAGAAAGAATCGGGAAGCCGCCGCAGCCGCCATGATGGGAGCCCGGGCCCCGCCCACTGCCGACCCGGCATGCACCGCGCCGCAGGTGCCATCTCCACAGAACCGTAGAGTTGGGACCACACGTAAAGCCCTCGATGGGGTGCTCAGCATTCGGAGGTCCTCCAACATGCGAAAAGTAGCCCTGGAGACGTGGGGAAGAGCGCTGGTGGATGCCGGGCGGAGAGAGGAGGGACGCACAGCTGATTGGGTCAGGCAAGTACCAGGACAGCTTCCGAGGGCTGTCCCAGAGTCCTCCGCGCCGCTGGGGTCCTAACAGGCAACACAGCCTTCCTCCGCACGTGTCTACAGAGCGATGCCCAAATCCAAGCGCGACAAGAAAGGTGGGTGAAAGGGACATTGGGACGCAGGGGGTAGCTCCGCCTTGTAGGTGCCGGCTGCGATGGGGGCGACGGGGCTTTGGGAGCACAGAATGAGATGCCCATGCCTCCCCGAGGAGCTCTGCGGACTCGCTAACAGGCAATGGGATGTTCGGGGCAGGAAGAGCATCCGAGGATGCTTGAGTATCGATGGGGCAAGGTAGCAGAAGCTGGTTTATCCAGCCTTGAGTGTTCTTCCAAGGCCTGCTGGGCCGGGAAACAGCCTCTGAGCCCTCAAACCGCGCCCGATCTCTCCCTGGCCCACCATTTCCACCTCAGCCCACCTCCTTCGGCATTCCATGCTGTCGCCATCCTTGCCGCCGCTCCCTTCCTCCAGCACAGGCTTGCTCTCGTGTCTGGCTCTTTGTACTTGCAGTTTCTGCTGCCTGGCATGCTTACGATCCGATCTTCGTATGGCTGGGTCTTTCTCAGTTGTCAGTTCACATTGGCATCTCCTAAGAGAGCATTCCTGACTATGCTGGTGTCTCTCTCACCTTGCCTGTTAAGCACTTCCACTTAACCGGTATACTCTATGGGCATAGGGGGATACAGCAGTTACAACAAGGCAGGCGTGGAGCCTTCATTAAGCTGAACACCCCGTAATACCAGAACTTAAATAACTAGAGTCGCATAGTGATGAGTCCCATGGAGTAAAAATGAGAAAAAGAGGTGATATTGTGTTGTATAGTGTGACCAGAGAAGATATCTGTGGTAAGGTGACAAATGAGCAGAAAGCTGAAGGAAGTGAGCAACCCACCAATTACCTGGATAATGGTGTTCTAGGAGAGCATGGTCTGAGAAGAGAGGCCAGTGTGGCTGGAGCAGGGGGCAGTGGGGAGCGGGGAGAGGTGGATTGGGCAGACTGGCAGGAATTTTAAGACCTTTGCAAGGAATTGCCTTTCACATCCTGGTGAAATGTGTAGTCATCTGAGAGAGAGCCTGAGTAGAGGAATTACGTGGTTTAACTACCTGAAGGCCACCCTAGTTGTCTTGTTGAGAATGGGATGTGTAGGGTGAAGGAGGCCAGGGTGGAAGCAGCAAGACCAGCAGTGATCCAAGAGCCGATGATGCTGACTTTGTTCACAGTTGTATCAGTGGAAGTGATGGGAAATGGACCATCACATCGTGTTGTGTTTCCTCCAGCGCATCCTTTGCCCCTGAACTGTGGGATTACCTTTCTGTATGTACACCTTGTGAAGAGGCACTAGGTCCCAGGCAGGATAAATAAGAGGTGGCCTCTTCCTGGGGCACCCCGGCCTTTGCACCTGATGCCCTGTTAAGTGTGTATGTATTCTGTGGAGGGAGTCATGATGAGGTCTGGCAAGTGTCAGACCCTTCTGGGTAAGGGGCCAGCTGTTTTACAGCAGGGGTGCTTATTCCCCTCCAAAGTGGCACTGCTGCATCCACGAGTCCAGACGGCAAAAGATGTAGCAGAGGAGGTAAACGATGAGGCCCCAGACTCATTCATTTCACAGCAGAGGCCAACCATAGATGGTCTCTGTGCACCATGGCCAAGAGCGGAAAGGGACCTGTCTCAGCCAGCAGGCTAGGTCTGCCTGAAAACACTCAAAGAGCAGGAACAAGCCCCACCCTCGCACCTCAGGACAATTCAAGGTTAAACTAAGAGGAGCAGGGGAATATCTAGTTTGTCCGAGTAACAGGAAATATGGCACAGAATCTCCAGGGTTGGGAACGCCAGAGAGAAGGCACTATGAGGACCCTGGGAATCGCTTTGCTGTCTCTCGTCTTACTGGCTCGATCCAGTCGAGCTCCCAAAGGTGAGAAGAAAATGGGCATCCAGGATATCTACACTCTGATCAGGTCTCCTTTTTCTCTTTCATGTTAGTTTCCTTAACCAAAACTGCTAAGAAAGGCTTGGAACTGAAACAGAACCTGATAGAAGAGGTAAGAGCATCTTTTTTTTTTTTTCCAGATCTTGTATTTGGTTTATAAAGGTGGGCACAGGACTGTACGTTATGGAAATATACTGTTTAAAGGAAGAAGAAAGGAAAAGGGTGCTGGTCCAGCCCCTTTTCCTCCAGGGGCAGCACCTGTGAAAACACCCACGGTGATGATTCCCAGCTGTGACCGAGCTCTGACTCTGTGCCCTGCACGGGGCACGCTGCACGTGTATCATTCAATTGTCCTTCCATGGGAGGGGACATTATCACTGTTCTGCAGTGGGGTACCTGAAGCTTCCAGAGATTTGTTAGTCTGCCTGACGTCAAAAAGCTGGGACTCAGCAGATGTGGGTTTAGCACCAGCTCACCATTTTCACTGCTTCGGGGCCGCGGGCCAGTGAGACAGCCGTCTCCTCCCGCACGAAGGTTCCGTTTCCCTGAGACCACCTCGTCATGGCTGCGGCCGGCAACGTGGGCAGGGCAGGGCTGCTGAGCCGCCTCTCCTTGAGAATTATAATGAGGCTTCATACCTTTCATTTAGTAGAATGCCTTCCTGGCCTAGCTAAGCATTTCTAGCTTGTTAACAGGTAACAAATAAAAAGAGAAGCGGCCACAGGTAAGTCAGAAACCTGGGGAGACGGTGGCTCAGGTTCTGCTGCACTTTGGGGGTCACACCTGCTTTGCCCCAGGGAAGTCATGTATGAAGTCGTCCTGGCGTAGAGGCCGCCGGCTCTAAACCTGCAGTTGCCAGGGACCCGGGGCCTATTCTTTCCCGTCTGAGGCCAGAGTGTTGTCCAGCCCGTGGTGCCCCTTGAACTTCAGCGCCCCATGAATTGTTCCACAGCTGCGGAAATGTGTGGACACGTACAAGTACCTTTTCATCTTCTCCGTGGCCAACATGAGGAACAGCAAGCTGAAGGACATCCGGAACGCCTGGAAGCACAGCCGGTGAGCAGGCAGCGGGGAGGGCCACCCTGCTGTCAGTCAAAGCCCGGGGCAGTTACTGACCCTCGGGCACCTGGGTCACACAGACGGCACCCTAACAGGGACAAAGTGCCACGCCCCCACCAAAAGGCACTTTTGAACTGTAATAGCTGGTCGTGCACTTAGCTTTTTGCTGGTTGCTCAGGGAATGTTTCGGCATCAGTCCCTCCTGGAGACAGGGCTCCCTTACCTCTGGGTCTAGAGTTTTTAGGACACCCCGTCAGTTTTAGGAAGTCGGGGTGTGCTCTGGGATGCACCAGTGCCCCGACGGCAGTGTGGCATGTACTGTTCTGGGGCTGGAATGGTGACAGTGCAGATGACCACTCTGGTCGTCCACGGCTGCGCCAACGCTGGTTCGGACCATGAACAGCCGCTTCCATACAATCTGGCGGGGAAGGCAGATTATCACGTAACACCCACAGTGGGCTGCTAGACAGAATATTCTAGGTCAGGTCCAGAGGCAGGAAAATACTGAAGGGGACCCTGGGCCGGAGACGGTGGGCAGGGCTCCGTGGAAGAAGTGGGAGCCTCCCACCACACCTTCAGCCCCGAAGCCGGACTGGAGCTGGTTTGCACTCAACCGAGGGGAGCGCTGGGCAGGCCGTGGCCTTCACAGACCCCTCCTCCCTCCACAGGATGTTCTTCGGCAAAAACAAAGTGATGATGGTGGCCTTGGGTCGAAGCCCATCTGACGAGTACAAAGACAACCTGCATCAGGTGAGTCTCTGGCCCTCACTGGGAGGGGCCGAGGCGCCTTCTCTTCTGCTGCGGCCATGAGGCGCACACTGGCCGATGGCCTGGGCTGGGAGTGAGGCCTGGCTTAGAGCCCTGGTTCTCCTGGAACCTCCAGGCCCAGCGAGTAGACACACGTACCCCCAGCTGTGTGTCAAAACTGCCTCCAGATGTTGCCAAATGGGGGCAGGGGGCTCAACGTAGTGCCCAGTTGAAAAACACTGCTCTACTGGGACCAGGCCAACCCACTCTTGTTCTTCAGGTCAGCAAGAAGTTGAGGGGTGAGGTCGGTCTCCTTTTCACTGACCGCACTAAGGAGGAAGTGAATGAGTGAGTGTTTTCAGGGGTGTTGGGGCGGCGGAGGGAGAGGTTGGTGAGGGCTTGCGGTGGCGGGGAACAACCTGGGGACTTCGTACAGTGGAGGCATTCAGTAAGAACCGGCTCCGAGGATTCATTACTGAGCCTTTATTCCCAGCGTGGTGCTCCAGGTGGGCTGCCACCAACAGCTGAGATGAACGGGAGGTGGGGGAGGCGGGACCCAGGGGGGCCTGGCCTCAGGTGGGCCGATGGGCCGGTCGGGAACCTCCCCACCAACCGCCGCTGGTCCCCCAAGGTGGTTCACGAAGTACACGGAGATGGACTATGCCCGCGCTGGAAACAAAGCAACTTTCACCGTGAACCTCGACCCGGGGCCCCTGGAGCAGTTCCCCCACTCCATGGAGCCGCAGCTGAGGCAGCTGGGGCTGCCCACTGCCCTCAAGAGAGGTACAGCAGGGTCACGGTGTAGTGGTCGAGGGCGCAGGCTCCCAAACCCGACAGGCCACCCTCTCCTCCCCTTTCTGGCAAAGCAGGTTATTTCTCCTGGCTTCCGTTTTCTCATGAGAAGGTGGGGCAAGAGTGTCCCCCATCGTGGGTGGGGCGAAGGTGGACAGTAACTTGCACCCAGGACACAGTACTGAGGGACAACGTGGGGGCCGCTGAGTACCACTGATCAGCCCGTGCCCCGCTGTGTGCTGGAGCTGGGGGACAGGTGGCCAAGCAGGCTCCTCCCGACTCTGGGCAGCGGGCAGAATGCTCTGCCAGAAGTAACTGCTTGCCTTCCCGCCTTCTCTGCAGGTGTGGTGACCCTGCTGTCCGACTACGAGGTGTGCAAGGAGGGCGACCTGCTGACCCCGGAGCAGGCCCGCATCCTGGTGAGTCGCCTGGCCCCTCCCAGAGATCTGCAGGCTGTGGCTGCAGGGGCCGAGGAAGGAACGCGCCCGCCCCTCCTGACTGCGAGTCTGTCTCTTGCAGAAGCTTTTCGGGTATGAGATGGCTGAGTTCAAGGTGACCATCAAATACATGTGGGATGCACACTCCGGAAGGTTCCACCAGATGGGAGATGACTTGCCGGAGAGCGCGTCCGAGTCGGCAGAAGAATCAGAGGATGACGATGATGACTCCTGAGGGGCAGGACCAGGACCGAGGGCTCCAGCGGGTCCCGGCACCGTCCTGACCTTGAGGGCCTGCCCCGCGTTCCTGGGCAGCAGCTGTTTTGCTGGGGACGGAGACGAGGAAGGGCACTGGGGACAGACTGTCTTTCTGCAGGAATAAAACTTTGCCTGCAGCTGTCTCCCTACAGACGGCAAAAGGGACTTTTCTCAGAAAAAAGGCCTTTGGGTTTGACTTTTGTTCGCCTCATGAGTTAGCCTCCAAGCACTGGTTCCTGTGTGACCCCTGGGGACAGGAGAGTGGCCACCAGCGCTCCCTTGGCCCTCAGTGCCCTTGTGTGCACTGGGGACTCGCTGAGGAAAACCAGCACCTGGCTGCCCTCCTTGCCCCTCCACACCCCCCTTTCTCTCCCAGACCGGAGCTGAGGGTCTGGGGTCCAGACGACCAGGGGCTTCAGCAAAGTGCAGAGGAAAGAGAGAGCTAGCACTGTCCCATGGGATTCTGGGAGTTTGTCTTCTCCCTAGGGGTGACTAATGATAGGATTTTGCCCAAATTGTTCTATTTGTAAATATTTCAGTGAAGGCATTTGCAAACAAGAAAAGGGGCTTCAGGTTGTGGGGGTGGCCTGTTTTCTGTCGTGTGTGGAAGGGCCACCACCTCCAGTCCCGCTCTGGAGAGGTCAGGTGAGGCTCCTGGGGAGCCTGAGGACCGCCTCCCACTGCCTCCACCCGAGAAGGTGAAGCCGCGCTCCAGACCCTCCCCGGCACACCCTTGGGAGGGACAGGACGGGCTGCTGGCGGCAGGAGAGACAAGCCCACCGGGTTGGCTTCGGGCCTGGGCGACACCAGGTCAAGAGCCTGCTTTATTCCGACAAGAGATCCAGCCTTTACACGCGGGGAAGGCAGCGGGGAGTGGTGCGAGGATACAGGAGACAATCTGTGAACCAAGACAACGAGGAAAGAACGGGCTAAACAGAGCAGCTTAAGGCCAGGGTGAGAAGTGAAGGGTGGCAGACAGGGCGCACCCCCTGCCACCTCAGGTCAGTTCCGGGCCTAACGGAAGTAGTTGGGGCACTCATGGGCAAGCAGGTGCCAGCCCTGGTTGAAGGCCTGCACGACAGCGGGCTCCAGGGGCCCCTCCTCCGTGGCGGACAGGTTCTGCTCCAGCTGCTCCAGGCTGGACATGCCCAGGATGACCGCGTCCCCGTGGGCACCCTGGAAGGGGAGATGGTGGACAGATGTCAACGCACCAGCTGGTGCAGTAGCTCCAGCCCCACCCCTGCTACGGCTGGCACTCAGGTGTCTGTTCCCACCCTGCGGTGTGACAGGGAGAACTTCACCTTGCCTTCAGACATCTCTGAAGCCCTGCCTCCCCTCTCAGCAGCAGACAGACCCAAGTTCAGGGCCACCCAGCAGCCGGGTAAACCTGGGTGGGTTACTCGACCTCTCTGGGCTTCAGACTTCCTGTGCTTTGCAAGGTGACTGTGAGTCACACAATGAAAAGTCTGAAGTGCTCTGCTCCAGGCCTGGCACCCAACAGGCACTCAGTGACGGGGAGCCACACAGGGCTGAGGCTGAAAGAAGGGAACTGGGACGGCGGGGGAGGGCAACCCCACCAGCCACAGAGCTGGTCTCCACGGCGGGCCGCCAGGGACAGAGCAATGCTAGTGGTTCAAGATGCAGGTCTCAGGGGTGCATGCCCGGTCACATGTAGCAGTGGGACCCTGGTCAAGAGAAGTAGTCTCCGAGCCGGTATCGTGTAAAATTGGGATTCTGCCTCACACGGCCAACAGTGTTCGTGGCAGGCCACTGAAGGGATTTACAAGCAACACAGTATGTATGCCCTGGCTGGTGTGGCTGAGTGGAGTGAGCGCCAGCCTGAGGACCAAACTTTAGATGCCCGGTTGGCACAGGGCTGGGTAGTGGGCCAGGCCCCCAGTTGGGGGCCCGCAAAAGGCTGCTGATGGATGTTTCTCTTCTCTTTCTCCTTCCTTTCCCCTCTCTAAAAATAAATAAAATCTAAAAAAAAAATAATAATAATACAGGATAACCACCCAAAAGCTGGGCCATGGGGAAATTTCAGAGGAAGAAAAGGAGTAAGCTCAGAAGTCACCAAATAACGACGTAGCCCTGTCCCTTCTTCCACTCCCCCCACCGCCACCCGGCCAAAAAAAAAGGGGGAAACAAACAGAAGCAGAGCCCCCTGGGCGGGGCAGCGGGGTTATTACCTGGAGCTGCGAGTGGTGGTACATCCACCGCAGGGCGGCCGAGGTCATGCTGGGGGCGCCGGCGCCATACGCAGCCTGCAGGGCCTTCTCCACCAGGGCAATGGCCTCGAAGTGGTGCTCCTTCCAGAAGCTGGGCGGGGGGGGGGCGGGGGGGCACAGAAGTCAGCAGCACGGGGTCAGTCGTGCTGGAGGCCCCAGGCACAGAGCCAAACGAGGCAGCTGCGCCCACCCCGAGCCCAGCCGAGCAGCACGGAGGGGCCGGTGCCTGCTCCGGCAGCGGGTCTCTTGCTTTGTTAGGCAGCATTTAGGCAGCAGAAGCACTCGGGATGCGGCTCCCTCTCCTGACACCCCCACGACATCTTTGCTCCTAGGAACCTGAAGCCTGCCCTCTCTCTACCAGTGGAATGCAGGCAGCTAGGTCAGGGGGCAGGCCCCAGGCCTCTGAGCCTCAATCCCGGGCTCTTCCCTCCCAGGAGGCGATAAGCATGGCTCAGGGAACAGCTGTGACTTGGAAGACCTGGCATAAGATTCGGGGGTCCTCGTTTCCTCCCAGAGGTCCCGAGACAACAAGAGACCCCACGGAGGGTTTAGTGATTCCTGCAGGAATCCACAGACATAGGTCCAGGCTACAAGGGAAGGCCTGGAGCCCCCAGGAGAGCAGCCTAGAACCTCTCCTTTCAGGGAACAGGGACCCCCCCAACCGGCCCCCGCCGCCTTCAGCCACCGAAGGCGGACATCTCCAGCTCACCGATTCCTGTAGGTCTCGGCCCAGCTATTTCCAAAGAAGCGGCCCGCGGGCTGTTTCCTGTCCTTGTCTTCATACTTGTACTTGCCGGTCAGCAGGCCCCCTGCAGGAAGGCTGCCCTCAGATCCCCTACCCACACTGCTCCCAGAGGCTGTTCCGGACTCGGGAACAGTGGGGAGACCAGGAGGGATGCAGGACACAGCCCAGCCTCTTGTCAAACCCCTCCCTGCTTCCCGGGGCCAGGAGCACCCACCCACCCCGCTGGGCGCGGCCCGGACCCCACACCCTGCAGCAGCCATACCAGCCAAAGGGTTGTAGGCGTAGAACCTCAGTCCAAAGTGCCTGAGGCAGGGGAGGAGCTCCGTCTCCACCTGCCGGGTGGTGGCGTTGTACATGCCCTGCGGGCAGAGGGCCAGCTGAGAGGGGCGCGTGCCAAGGGAAGGAACCCCAGCGGCCGTCGCTTAAACCCTTCGGTCAAACCTGCCCAGGACCTCAGCGATGACCTCCCAGCTCACTAGTGGTTAGACAGGGGATGGGGAGACAGGGTTGAATCTCAGAAAGGGAAACTGGACCAGAGATATCATTGCACAAGTATCTGTGGGTGCCAGGCTGGACACTGGGTTTTCAAACACGAGTGAATCCAGCAAGGTCTCTGTCCCCAAGACATGTCAGAGCTGAGTTAAAAACACAGAGAGGAGACAGGTAACCACAACAGAGGCGGACTCCCTGACTACAGCAGGCGCTCCTAAACACCGGGTGGATGAGGACTAGGTCTGGAGACCAGGGGCCCCGCTGCGGGGTCAGGAAAGGCTTTCCAGAGCCATCTGAGTGAGACTGGATCACTTCTACCAGGGAGAAGGGGAAGCAGGAGGAATGGAACCGAGCTGTTCAGAGCAAGGCTGGCGTGCAGAGCAAGGAAGCAGGAAGGATGGGACCAAGGTGTTCATGCAGGCAGGGAGGGGAGCCAGGACCAAGGGAGCAGGCACCTACTGGCTGGGCTGAGGAGCACCCTGAGGGCACCCTGCAGGGCCTGAGCAGGAGCATGGCTGCTGAGGAGAGAGCACGGGGCAGTCAGAGGGGTCCTGCCCGCACCTGGTACACAGTGGGAAGGATCCAGCCGTTGCTCTTGCAGAGAGTGCAGATCTCGGCCACCTCCCAGGCGGCATAGTTGGAGAGGCCAAGCTCCACAAACTTGCCCTGCAGGGAAGAGGTGGTGGTCAGAACCCAACACAGTCCAGGAACCCAGGAAGGGGAGAACAGGAAGGGGAGACCACGGTGAAGACCCTGGGAGTGGGGACTGTCCCCAGCTCTGCTCTGGGACAGCCCTGGAGCCTCCACTCTCCAGGCCAAAGAGAGGAACAGCAGACCTCTTCCCGGAGCCCGGGGCAGCACCCTCACCTCCTGGTGCAGCTGGTGGCAGGCGCGCAGCGTGTCTTCCACGGGGGTGCCGTGGTCGGGCGCGTGCAGGTAGAAGAGGTCCACCTTGGGGCACTGCAGCCGTTTCAGTGACGTCTCCAGCTGGGACCGGAGACTGTCGGGCTTCAGTGACTTCCCATCCCAGGGGTTGGCCTTGGTGGCAATTTTCACTTTGGAGGAGGAATGCAATGGTTAAGAGACTTATTATAACCACTTATTAGCCATGTGACCCTGGCTAAAGTATTTCAGGTCTCTGGGCCTCAGTTCTACGATCTGTAAAATGGGGGTGGTGATAACGGCATCGTCCTCATTGGGAGATCGTGAGGGTGGAGTACACGATGTTACAACTAAGTCCTAGTGTTCACTGCCGCTGTAACTATCAGTGGTCATCAAACTGCCGGCTGTGCCGGGCCTTGCGCTAGAGGCTGAGTCCACAGAGATGAGCTGAACACGATCAATCTCTGCCCTCAAAGAGCTCAGAGTCTAGAAGGAGACATTACAACACAGTAAGGGCAGCACAGAAAAGCGCCAGTGCTAAAGAAGCCCAAAGAGGAGAGACTGCCGGGGAAGGCTTCCTGCGGGGTAACCCCCAGCTGAGTCTCCATGAATGAGTCACAGGGAACCAAAGGGTCACCAGTTCGATTCCCAGTGAGGACACATGCCCAGGTTGTGGGCCAGGTCCCCAGTAGGGGGCGCTCAGGAGGCAACCACACATTGATGTTTCTCTTTCTCTCTTTCTCCCTCCCTCCCTCCTCCTCTCTAAAAATAAATAAATAAAATCTTAAAAAAAAAAAAAAAGAATGAGTCACAGTCAACAAGGAGGGATGGGAAGCACATTCCAGAGAGCGGGAACACAGGCAAAATCAACGAGAAGGCAATACGGTGTGTGAAAGGCCGTGCTTGGCAATTCTGAGTTACACGAGCATAAACTCCAGGTATGGAGCAATGCGACAAGAGAGAAGAGAAAGGGCAAGGACCTAACCCCAAAGGGTGTCCTCAGACACCGCCACTCAAATGTTCCAAGTGAGTGTGTTCTGCACCCCGGCTGCAGTGTAGAGAAAAAAACTCAAGGGGGCAGGCCTGGAAGTATAAAGACAGGGAAAGTGTCGGTCAAGAGTCTGGTGTGAGGATTCAGGGGCGAGACGCCCCTGCATCCGCCTGAACGTGAGCGCCGACAGAGGTCAGCTGGGAGACGGGTAGGAGACTAAAAGAGTACGAGGCACTTACGGCTTCCCTTGCCCTTCCAGACTCACGGAAGCGTGCTCACCACACACCCCCTGTCAAGACACAATCCGCCTGAGACCTAGACAGCGTTCTGCCACGCCAGCAGCGTGGAAACTCTCTAAAGAACGCTGGCCGTCTGGATGGGTGGGTGGACGCAGTCTGTACTATTCGTACTTGGCAAAGGCAACTCAGCAGTTCAGAGGGAAGTCATCAGACCTCTTCACGTGTGGGAACAAGTCGCACAGCTTTTCGACCAGATATTCCCCGGCATGCTTAGTGTGAACTCTGCCTCACGCTTAACCTTTGGACTTGGGCCCAGTGAACGCTAGGCCTCAAAGAAGGAACCAGGGCAGGGCTGGCGGAGTAAAACCAATTCAGAAACAAAACCTTCACTATCAACAAAATTTTTAGTTTCAGGTAATAGTGATTAAGCTTAGTAATCAATGCATGTAAAAGCTATTGTTTTAGGAACTGAAGGCGTGCCCCACCCTGACTCCAGGAGACTAGAGCGGTTCCACCTTTGGGCCCCAGGAGGACCGCAGTAGTCCAGGTAGTGCCTGAGTCCCTGTGCTCCAGGGGGAGCTGCCCACCACCTGGGGCACAGATGAAAGAATGCTGCGGCTTTTTATCTGATTGACTTTTTCCTTGAATTCCAATCCCCTTGCCTACACTTTTCTTCTCCTTATAAAAAGGATCGGTTGAAAATGGAATTTAAGGCAGTCTGTTAGGATACAAACTCACTGTCTTCTCTGAGCACCAGTCATCTGAGCAGAGCGCCCATAAAGATTCAATCCCTGTCTCTGCTTATTGGTTCGGTAGGTGACAGGGAGCCCGAACGCCGGCTTTTCCGGGTTCATTCCCATTCTGTTCCTCCAGGTCCACTGAGCTACGACCCAAAGGGGAAGACCCACAAGGGCTGGGGAAGAAGAGCCTGGGGGTCGGGTGGAGTGGGGTGGGGGGTTGCCTCAGAAGAGGAGGCAAAGTGTGGCAATGACAACAGTAGCTAGCGGTCACTGGGCCCCACCCTGTGCCAGGCACCCTCCTAGGCACTCCTACTTCTAACGGCATCAGGCTAACAAGGGGCAGTCCCTCCACACTCACACATCCGCTATTCAAGCCACACCTGCCTACTGACCGCCCTTCCACACATCTGCCACTTAGCATTTCCGAGCCCAGTCTTTGCACAGCCGTGCCCTCAGCTCTAATGTCCCCTTCCGTCATTCTCTGCCCAGCAAACCACTACGGATCCTTTAAGGCCCAGCTCCAGCCTTCTCTGAGCCTTCCCTAGTGTGTCTCCCGGTTCTGGTCATCCTGCCCCCTCCCCTCCTTCCCCCAGAGTGCTCCTCCTTCTGGGTTCCCCAGTGCTCATTGGCTTCAATCTTCCCCACTACACTCTGAGCTCCCTGGGGGTGGGTTAGGGTCACTTTCCCTGTTATGACCCCAACACAAAGCCTGGCTTGGGGCTACCTTACCCCCTCTCTCACACCTCCATCTCTGGTCCCCAGCCCAGCCTGGCCCACTGCAGAGCTACAGCTTTCCCTTAGAGTACCAAGGGGACGGCCAACTGAACAGAGCGAAGTCTGGGTAAGAACAGGATGGGTAAAGGGTGCTGAGGGAGCTCATGGGCGGTGAGGGCAATGGGGAGACTGGCACAGGCAGAGCACCTGGGGCCTGGGTATGGGCACCTGGCAGGACTGGAGGTGGGGACGGCACAGCTCTGGAGATGAGTGCAATCAAGAACACCAAGAAAGCAACAAGTGTAGAAAGCTAAGGGCTAGACCAGGCTCGGGGTAAAACTTGGGAGTTCCCGAGTTGTAACCCCTAGGAAAGAGGTGAAGGTGACCAGAACAGCACTGTTCGTCTGTGGGGCAAGATGTGCACCAGGCCTAAGAGCTGGGGATTCAATTCACAGAGTTGTAAGTCGGCTAGGGGAGGAGACGAAGCAGCTGGTCCCCACCGCAGTCGTTGCATCATGGCTGGGGTCGGGTCATTGTCCTGCACGGTACAGGGGGAAGTCAGGGACCTAGGACGCGAGCGCTAGGCGTTACCTCTGCAGTCGCCGCCACCCAGCCCGAGCCCCAAGCCGCCCACGATGCTCTCGGTCTGGCCGTCGCTGTACATGAAGGCCGTGTCCAGCTCGGTGTGGCCACGCTCCAGAAAGGCGCGCACAGCCGCGGCGCTGGCCGGCGCGTCCATCCGGCGCCCCATCTCCATGGTGCCCAGCACGGTGGCAGGCCGGGCCGGGGAGCCTGAAGCGGACCGCGACGGCCGGGACATGGCGGCGGCGCTGGCTGTGCGAGCCTGCGGTGGCCCGGGGCTACGCGCACAGCGGACCGCGGCGCGGGCCACAACTTGAGGCGCGGCGCGCAGCATGGGGTCTGCGCCTGCGCGCTGGGGCGCCTGGGACCCCGCCCACCGCCGCGGGGAGGTGTCCCGGGAGCGAGGACAGCGAGCGTGGCGCCCCTTCACGCACGCTTCGCTCGCTAGCGTGCCCCAGCGACCGGGTGACGAGATGCGGCGCGAGAGGCGGAGCCACGAGTTTCGGGGGCGGGGCGAGGTGGGGCCTCGGGTCAGCTGACCCGGTCAGTGGCGACACAACCCAGAAAGCCCGCCGGGCGGCGGATCTGGACCTGGTGAGTGGGGTTGAGGCTTGGGGCAAATACGAGGCTGCGGGTCGGGGCTCCGGGGCTTCCCTGCCACGTCTTTACAGCACCCTCCCCAGCCCCTGGACCGCCCCGGGACACTTGTTCTCTCCTTTGGAGCGCGAGATCCCGGGTGAGGATCTGAGCCGGGATTGGGTAGCCTTCGGGGGTCTCCTGTCCCCCTCTTCAGGGGCGACCAGGGTGGCCTCTCGGACTGACCTGGCCAGGGTTTGGGGTCTGGGTCCCGGGTTCTGACGGCTTTGTTTTTCCCAGGGCGGGCCAGGGGAAGGGGCCTCGCGGCGACTGAGCGCTGACCCCAGCGGGCTGCCCTGTCATTATCCCGGCGGAACAAGCGGGCGGCACTGGGCTGAGTCACGAGTTTGCCCAGAACCTAAAGTCCTGGAGGGGATGGTACCCGCAGGCCGGGACGCGCCTCCCCTCCACGTAGTTCCCAGGTCTGCGAGGAGCCCGGATTGCATTCTCCCCACCTCATACCTAGGCTGGGTCTGGGCGTGTAAGGGTTGGCGCTAGTCTTGTCCATTCAACACTTACTGAAGGCTGCTGGGTGCCGGGGACCCTTGGAGGGGCTCTTGGGGGAGCGCTGCAGCTGGAACACAATAATGGTCATCCGTGGCCATCCCTACCGTGTTTAACCTGTGCCAGGCACCCTGCTTATCGCTTGGCCTAGATTATCTCTTTTATCTCCGCAGTCAGCCCAGGAGGAGACTTGCATCCCCCCCCCCGCCCCCATTGTACACATTGGACCTCTGAGGCTCCATCTCTTGCTCAAGAGTTCTGTGCTTGCAGGCATCAGGCAGGTCAGCGCTAGAGTGCTTTCTCCTCAGCCTTAAGCCCCGTGAGCTCATAACTGGCTCTTTTCTTGTCTTTCTCCCCTTCCCCCATTCCTCTCTCTGAGCATTTTTACTGTGCAGCTGGTGTGTCTAGACGCTCAGTTTACAATTCGGTTGAGGGGGAGGAGTGGGCTTAAAGAGCAGTGACCGCTGAGGATAAGCATTCTTCAGGTCTGTGGAGGGGGGCGGGGGTGACAGGTGTTGCCCGGCCAGCTTTGTGAAGCCTCTTTGAGAGAGCAATTTAGAACTTGGTCTTACTATTTCTACCAGCCGCCCCCACCCCTACACACACACACACACACACACACACACACACACACACATACGAGGACACTGCTAGGCCTGGGGACGGGACAGCAATTGCAGAAAGAGCCTGGAGGCATGAGAATGACTATTGAAGACCTGGGCGAGGGACAGGAGATGAAGCGGGGGCAGTTATTGAAGTACCTTGGGGCTTTGCCTCAAGGAATGTGGACTTGACCTGATAGATGAAGGTCACTTGACAAGCTTCAGTGGAAAGCATGTCCTTGACTCAGTTTATCACCTGGGAGAGGAGTGTGGGTGTGGCAGGAGATGCCTTTTCCAGCTTCTCCGGCGCAGCCTTTCCCAAAGCGCGCCCACATGCATCAGAATCAGCCGGGGGAGCCTCTGACCCCCAGCCCAGACGTGCTGCTCCTGAATTTTGAACGGTGTGCCCTCCTTGATTCTAAGGCACCCACGCTGTGGTCCCTGTCCACAAATGCAATCAAACTTTGTTACAACTCTGGACATACATCCATTCACTCCGTGCTGTTTGACCACACGGGCCCATTTCCGGAAGCCAGGCCTGCAGCCCAGGCTGGCTCCCCACCTGAGTCAGAATCTGGGGGTGACAGGCCATATACACAGCGGCCCTCAGAGGAAGACCCTTTCTGTTCGGGGCTCAGGCATGTCTCAGAGCACCCTGAGCTGCACCACAGCCTTGTGCCTGGGCGGGGGACCACCTCCCTCCCTCACCGGGCACCTGTCTACCTCATTTCTTCCCAACCTGGTGGAAAGGGGGAGCGAGGGAGTGGCCTCAGGGTTGCTGAGATATTGGACTTGTATCCACAAAACCGTCATTGCCCAGCGTTGCCAGGCACTGGTCTAGAGCTCTGTGTGCATTTCACCGGCACAACCACCCCAGGAGTGAGGCTTGTGCTCCTCAATTTATAAACAGGCTCAGACAGGTCACTCACTTGTCCAAAGCCGCTCAACCTTATCTGTCAAATGGGGACGGCATTCCCTACCCCCCAGGGAAGTGACGAGGATGACCATGTACATTTGGGATCTACAAGAGGAAGGCGGGCAAGGCAGTCGAGTTCAGGGATGGCCGGGGAACAAGTGTATCTTGGCGTTGCAACGATGCAGTGACCTGAACTGCGTGTTAGTGTGGGGTGGCCTTGCAGGTGCTGGCGGCAGGACAGCAGGTGTTTAGACGGTTGCAACATCAGCTGTGCTAAAGGCCACCCAGGTGGGTCACCAGGAGGTAGGAAGAGGCTTTTGGTCGTGCCTGCTGGGCCCTGGAGATGCTGCAGCGAACCGGGTAGGCAGCAACCCGTGGCCCCTTCCTCCCAGCTGGGGGCCTCTGCCCGCTGCAAGTCACATCGGGACTGAGAGCGTAGAATTGCCTGAGAAAAGAAGCTGAGTCGCTTCCTTTCCCTTCCTGACAGCCTCAGGCACCGTGACCTCAGCAGTCCCGGGGTTCCTGTCAGGATATAGCATCAGGGCTGCTATAACCGAACACCGCAGACGGGGTGGCTTATAAACACGGATATATTTGGCGCCGCAGATTCGGTGTCTGGTGAGGGTCCACTGCCTAGTCACAGATGGCTGTGTTCTCACTGTGGCCTCGCCTGGCAAAGAAAGAAAAAGATAGAGAGGGAGAAAAAGCAAAAGTGAAAGCTCGCTCAGGTCTCTTATAAGGGTCCTAATCCACGCATGAGGGCTCCACCTTCCTGGCCTGAGCACTTCCCGAAGGCCCCACTCCTAGCACCATCACCCCGGGTTAGGTTTCAACAGAAGACTTTGGGGAAGACATAAATGTTCAGTCTGCAGCTCCGGACATCGCTTTAGGAAGACCCTGGGCCTCCCAATAGCATAGGAACTGAAGGCAGCAGGAGGAGCCTCGCGCCGGAGTGGAGCCGGGTGGAGGTGGGGGAACCCCTCAGAGCAGTGAGAAAAGGGGAAGCGTGCCGGCTGGCTGCGCAAGAAGCGGCACAGCCGTGCCAGACCACAGGAGGGTCTGCTGCGCCCAGGGACAGAAGGCCTGAGGCAGCGGGGCCTGGTGGCTCTGAGCAGGGGTTTGTGTCCTGGTCCTGGCTCTGACTCATGGCTCTGCCACTTCCTGGCTGGATGGCCCTGGCAAGCCACTTCCCTGGCTCCTCTGCTTTACAGAGTTGACATGAGGACAAAATGCATCCGTGCACGCAAGGCACCGCAGAGAGCTCCGTAACAGGGCCGTGACGATGCTTGCCTGGCAGAGATGGTGTCACCTGGCCCTGCTTTCACTTCCTTCGCTAGGGTTGTCACACAAGCAGTGACTGCCCTAGTCACTGTGCGGGGTGCCAGGGTCCCGGGAGGGGCCTTCCCTGCCCACCCCATGCCAGCCAGCCAGCCAGCCATCTTCTGGCTTTGGCGGTGGTGAGAATGGGGCGCTGGCTCTGGACTCCTTGCCGGCGGGCACCCCGCACAGGTGAGCTTTGGGAAGGATATGGCTTGAATGCCAGCCACCTGTGCAACCTCAGGATCCCCCTGGCCCTCATTTCCACCTGCCTCAGCTAACCTGTTGATGATGGAAGAAACGTCCAAACCCATAGAGAACTTTTATCAGAGTTTATTTGAGTCAAACGGATGACCTATGCCAGAGGTCGGGATCTCATGCTGCAGGGAAGAGCAGTTCTGCAGCTTCTTTCATGCATTTGCGATCACGGAGGGAACGTAAGGAAGGTTATAAGAGGGTGGGAGAAAGCAAAATGGGGGTCAGATTACAGACTTACGTGCTTGCTTGCTTTTCGTTTTAAGATTTTATTTATTTATTTTCAGAGACAGGGGAAGGGAGGGAGGAAGGGAGGGAGAGAAACATTGACATGCAAGGGAAACATCAGTTGGTTGCCTTTCACACCCCCCACCCCCAACCAGCAACCTGGTCCACAACCCAGAGATGGGCTCTGACTGGGAATCGAACCAGCAACTTTTCAGTTCACAGGCCAGCGCTCCATCCACTGAGCCACACCAGACAGGGCCTTCGGTGCTTTCCTAAGGGTGGTTACATCTGGAGGGGTATTCCTGCCAGCACTTCAGTGGTGTTTTAACCCAGGTGCACGAGAGCAATGGATAGCACTGGCTAAAAACCCTTTCCCTAAAGAAGTTATATGCCTGGGGCGTGACTACCCACCCTGACCTACCCAGTTAGGAATTTATGATCAGATCACCCTGGGAGGTTACTTTCCATAGAACTCCTTTTTCTTTTCTTTTTTAAAGATTTTATTTATTTTCAGAGAGGGGGGAAGAGATGAAGAAAGAGAGGAGAGAAACATCAATGGGTTGCCTCTTGCACTCCCCAACTGGGGACCTGGCCCGCAGCCCAGGGATGTGCCCTGACTGGGAATCGAACTGGCGACCGTTCGGTTCACAGGCAGATGCTCAGTCCACTGAGCCACACCAGCCAGGGCAGAACCCCTTTTTCATCCACAAACCAATGTCAGGTGACAAGCTACTACACAGGCCTGCCCTCAACAGACCCTCAGACCCTCACAGTGTAATTTACAACGACAAAAGATGGGAAGCAACCCGAACATGCGGGTTAGGACAAAAACGTGGCATGTCTGAGGGCTCAGCTCCCTGCACGGTGTCTCTGAACTCATCGGGCCCGCACGGCTGTGTGAGGGAGGCACTGTCTTCGCCCGGTTCACAGGGGAAACTGAGGCACAGAGTCGCAGCATTGGTGGAGCGAAGGTGCGGTGTGGAGGCTCGTGTCTCTGGCTGCAGACCCGCGCTCCCTGCGCCCGTGGTCCGCACGGGTCTGCTCTGGTCTCTGCACTCGAGGCTGACTGTGCCCTTTGGTCCAGGGGCATGCTCAGGGCCAGCTGAGGGGGCTGGGGCTGGGCTTCGGTTGGGGGGCACCGTGACTGGGACCCAGACCTCCCAAGGCTGAAGCCCCTCTCTCTTTGCCCCGCAGAGCCCTCGCCTGCCCCGGCGCACCAGCGCCCTCCCTCCCGCCCTCTGCAGCCATGGTCTGGAAGCAGCTGGGCTCCGGCAACTTCTCCAGCTGCCCCAATGGCTCCCGCCAGTGGATATGGGACGTGTTTGGTGAATGTGCCCAGGATGGCTGGGACGAGGCCAGCGTGGGCCTGGGCTTGATCTCCATTCTCTGCTTCGCAGCATCCACCTTCCCGTGAGTAGTGCCAGGATGGCAGGACGAGGGAGGGTTTGCAGGGCTGGGGCAGTGGCCCCAGGGACCACAGGACACGGGGCCGCTGTCTGGCCGTGGGTCTCACCAGACTCAAGGCCAAGGGTACTCCCTCCCCACCCCTACTCCCAACCTGCCCAGGAGGGCCCTGCCCTGAGCCCACCCTAGGCCCGGCCTTGTGCTGGGCATTGCTGACCCCCAGGTAATAATGGTAGCACTTGCTCCTGTTTTTTGAGTGCCCCGCTATGTACTCAGCTTAGTTCTAGGCACTTAACCTGTTTTTAGCTCATTTAGTCTTCACAGCAACCCAGTGAAACGGATAGTTCCCATCCCTGTTTTACGAGGACACAGATCCGGAGCGGTTAAGTACAGTGCTCTAGGTTGCACAGCTAGGGGGAGAGGAGACCACAGGTGGGACGGCTGGGATGCATCCCACGGGGCCTCGGCGCTGTGGCAGTCTGGTGGTGGCCAAGCAGTGATCACGAGACAGTGCGGCCACTGCTGTGGTCAGGGACCAGAGACACACGCTGCATAAAAGCACGTGGTTGGCGCCTGGGCTGCGGATGTGGACAGCAGTGAACTCTGTCTACACTCAGCTGTGACCCAGGGAAGTCGCTTCGCCGCCCCGCACCTCGGTTTCTTCCTATGTGAAACTGGAATGTCGGCCCCTGGCTTACAGGGTTACTCCCAGGGCGGCAGGAGGGAGTATGTGTAACGCCTGTTCACGTGTGTGTAACACCTGTCCACTTGTGTGTGCCCAGCCCCATAACTGGACAGAGTGCGCGGTCAGGGCCGTGAAGTCAAGAATTCTTCACTGCTGGGGCACCCGCACTTCAACCTGAGGATCAAAGATGAGGGTTTCATTAGGAGCTTGACCTTCTTCAAAAAACAGCTTTATTGCCGTGGCTGAGGTAGCTCACGGGATTGAGTGCCAGCCTGTGAACCAAAGGGTCACCAGTTCGATTCCCAGTCAGGGCGCATGCCTGGGTTGCGGGCCAGGTCCCCAGTCGGGGTTATGTGAGAAGCAACCACACACTGATGTTTCTCTTCCTCTTAAAAAAAAAACAGCTTTATTGAAAGATAATTCATATCCCCTACAATTAGCGCATTTAATTGTGTAACTCGCAGGGTTGTGTAACTATCACCGCAGTTAGTTTTGGAACATTTTCCTCACTGTAAAAAGAAACCCAGAAAGGAACCACCCGCTCCTCCAGCCCCTGCACCTCCTGGCCCCGCCTCCTCTCTGTCTGTGGATCCGCCCACTTGACCTTCATGAAGGCGGAGCCATGCATCACGGGGCCTTCCCTGGCCGGCCTCCTTCACTTAACAGGATGTCTTAGCGGTTCCTCCGTGTCTGAGCCTGGATCAGTACGCCCGCCCTTGTCACGTGCAACTGCTGCCCCGTGGTGCGCGCGCCAGTGTGTGCGCATTCATCCGCTGATGGATATACACGTCGTTTCTGCTTTGCGGCCGTTAGGGGTCAAGGCCACTGTGTGCATTCACGGACAAGTTTCTGTCGGGACGTTTTCCTGCTCCCGGGGAGGCACCCAAGGACTGGAGTCGCTGGGTCACACGGTGACTCCATGACCGATCTCACAAGGAGCTGCCGCTGTCGGTGAGAGCGAGCTCCTCTGCCCTCGGGTTCGCAGATGGACGGAAACGCAGCTGGGCGGCACCCACCAGGCTGCAGAGGGGACGGAAGTGCTGAGGGTCCTTCGAGTGCAAAGTGCCTTCTCGAGGAGAATCCGCCCCGCGTTCTCAGCGTCTGGGTTGGCCCGAGATCGTAATCCTGCGCAGGTGGCCAGCGGTCTGGCTGCGTGGACACTTTGCCCAGGCCTTCCGGGGCTGACCAGGGGGCTGCTGGAGGGTGACGTCCAGTCGGGCATGGCCACAGGGCTGGGGAGCTGAAGAGTGTACGTTCCCAGGCTGCCGCCTCCCCCTGTGTGGTGTTAGGAGTTCAGCAGCTTGACCACAGTGACTCCATTTTGTCTCTTCGCTCCATTCCCCGCCGTTTGTACTGAACTGCCTGCTTCGGGTCGTGCTGGGTGTGACACGTGCTGGGTGTGACACGAGGAAGTGAAACAGACCCCGCCCGGCCTTTGCAGACCTTCCCTTCCAGTGCCCTTTACAGAGGCGACCTGGGAGTCGTTGGGGAAGGCAGGCTGGAGAGAGAAAGGCCATGCCACGGGCGGTGATGTCAGAGGCCCTGGCGGGGGCCCTTAGAAGACAGACCGGACAGGTCTGGGTGACTGACGGTGGCCGAGGGACCGAGACGCCCAGTGGTGGGGGGAGAGCTTCCCCGGAGCCACCTGAGGAGCGGGCTGAGGCTTCCCCTCCCTGCTGTGGCATCTCGCCGGCCCTCCTGGGTCTGGCTGAGCAACCAGTGAGGGGGCGTCACAGGCCCGGGAGACAGCCCCAGGTGAGGACAGGAAGGGCAGCCACCTTCCCGCTCCTGCTTAGGGCTCAGCCTTTCCTGAGGATGACAAAATTATTTTACCTGCAATTTATGGAGATGCGGCAAGTCACAGCACCCTGAAGGAGCTTTGGGAGACACAGGCTAGACCTTAACTAAGGGCCTGCTCAGTGCCAGGCCTGTGCGAGGCGCTGGCCCTGGCCTCAGGAAGCTCGGGTCCCGGAGGGCCCAGGCTGTTCCAGAGGAGGAAGGAGAAGGTGCCTTGAGCTTCCGGCAAGAGGGCCCCGAGGAGGAGCTGGTATTTCCAGAGCAGCGACAGGGGAACAGGGAGGCTGGGCGGGCCGCCTGCGAGCCCAGAGCTCAGAGGAAGAGAAGGCGGTCCCCGTGGGGCAGGACTGGGGCCCGGGGTCTGGGAGTGTGTCCTGGCTCCCAGGCTCCCCCGGCTGCACGAGCTGACTGGCTCGGCCCCGACTGAGAACAGGCCTCCACACAGACTTGACCACGTTGGGGGGGCTGCGGGGACTGAGTGAGTTAACGCACACGAAGGGCTCAGAGCTGTGCTGTGCTACCATCAGCACTGGGCCCACTCTGAGACCGAGGACCTTTGGGCAAACTCCCAGGGCGTGAATGCTGCCGGCTTCTGTGCCAGGGCGCCATAGAACCACAGCCCTGCCCTGCGCGGTGCCCTCGGCAGACAGCGGGCTGTGGTCCGGCCCATCATCTCATCATCGCCCGCTCTCGAAGACAGGGCAGCGGCGGGGCCCCGGCCTCGGGCTCGCCGCCACCAGCCCCGTGCTCTTGTCAAACTCCCTGCCCACTTCATAGAAGAAAGAATCGGGGGAGTGGTTCTCAGGGCCTGACCCTAAACCTCAGGACCCTGTAAATACCCCAGCTCCCCACTGGGTGCCCCCAGGGTGCTGTGGAGGAGAACGTGAGTAACGCTTTGGATCTCTCCAGGAAGGTGCTCATCACATCGAGTTCCCGGGCTGGAGGGATTCTCCCTGGTACGAACCCCCAAAGGGCAAAGAAAGGCTCACGAGGACTCTGCCTGCCGGGCTCCCAGTGACCTGTGTGGCCGCTGCCCCTGCCTCACTGCCCTGTTGTGGTGTCCCATCGGGGGGGCCGTTCTCTTGCCGACCCCCGAACTCGTGTCCCCCTCTCCGCCGCAGACAGTACATCCAGGCCTGCAAGACGGGGAACATGGACCAGGCCCTGTCGCTGTGGTTTCTCCTGGGCTGGATCGGCGGAGACTCCTGCAACCTCATCGGCTCTTTCCTCGCCGACCAGCTGCCCCTGCAGGTGGGCTGGCCCCGGGCAGGGTGGGCTACCTCGGTTAGCCATGGCAGAAGCTTTGGGACCCCCAGCAGGAGAAGCCGGGGCTCCAGAGTCCTGACCTGTTGTTCCATCCTGTGAGGGCCCCACATGGTGGAGAGAGCCCTGTGCCCTGCCAGGCAGTGCGACAATGGGCTGGCCACTGCCCTTCTCTGGGCCTCAGTTTCCCCATCTGCAAAGTGACCGCATCAAACCAGAGGATCGCTGGAGTCTTTTCACCTCTGAGGTGCTACGATCCTGACAGAGCTTGGCGGGGTGGCAGCCAGAGAGTGATGGTCGTCCCTCGACAGAGCTGGGTGTTGTCATTCTCCTGTGGGTGGGGGGGAGGAGCTGGCATTAAAACCCAGGAATCCGCCGTCTTCCCGAGGCACCTGGGAAGGCTTCACTGCCTCTGGGTCAGGCCGGAGCAGGATCCACACTTAACCTCCGGTCCCTGGTGTCCTGACGTGGAGCCAGTAACCACGTCCCCCACCTGCCCCGGCCGGACGCACTGCCTGCCTGGTCTCTGGTTCTGCTGGGTAGGAACTGGGCTCCCGCCTTCCAGATGAGCAGACAGAAGCCCAGAGAGGCGAAGTGACTTGCCCTGGGTCCCCCCGCTGGGACGTTCCAGCACTGCCCTGGTTTCGGGGCGTGGGCCCCAGAGCCAGGGACTCAGCGGATGCCCCCACTTCTCTTGCAGACCTACACAGCGATGTACTACGTCTTGGCAGACCTGGTGATGCTGTCCCTGTACTTTTACTACAAGTTTAAGAACCGCCCCTCTTTGTGTGAGTACGGAGGTCCCTCCATGTCAGCTAGGCGGGGGGCAGCTGGGAGCAGGTGCCCCAGGGCTGGGTGATGAACCTTGGGAGGGCTTCCTTGAGCCTCATCCGAGGCCCAGGGGTGGTACGCACATCCAGGCAGGACCACGGGGGCCCCCTGCCCTTGGGTTCTTACTCAGCAAACATGGCTTCAGCGTCTGCCCTGTGTCTGGCCCTGGGCTTGGTTCTGGGGAAACGGGTATGAGGCCTGCAGGCCATCACTGCCCTCAAGGGCTCAGAAGAGCCAAGGCCGAGGTCAGAGCAAGGTCGGGCTGGACGAGACATGGCCCGAGGCACCACTTTTCATAACATCCTTGGCGCCCCACCACCCTCGTCACTTTACAGCCCCAGGAGAAGGGTGCTGTTACTACACCCATTCCACAGGTGAGGAATTCATGCTCAGAGAGGTTAGGTCACCTGCCCAAGGTCACAGAGCCACCAAAGGGGCGGTCCGTCCCACCCCGTCTGCTGCCATCAGACACCTAACTTGGGCTTCCCTCCTGCCTCGGGTCCAGTGTCCGCCCCCATCAACTCCCTGCTGCTGTTCACCCTGGGACTGGCGTGCACCGCCCCGCTGCTGAGCGGCGCCGGCTCTGGGGCCGCCCCGAGGGAGGCCTTCAGGGGGCGGAAGCTCTTGTCCGTGGAACCGGGCAACAAGGTGAGGTGTAGGTACGTGATGGGAGGGGGGACTGGCGTCAAGGGCCCTCCCTGCAGGGCCACCTGGCTGGGGGGATTGCCCTCTAGGAGGGAGCCTGGGGACCTCACCCTGCACCCCCGGTCCCCACTATCCCCAAACATGCCCTTCTGCCTTCCCAGCCCTTCACTCGGCAGGAAATCATCGGCTTTGTCATCGGCTCTGTCTCCAGCGTGCTGTACCTGTTCTCCAGGCTGCCTCAGATCCGCACCAACGTGAGCCCTGAGCCGGGGTGGGGCCGAGCGGGAGAGGAGAGCCAGTCTGGTGGCTCCGGCTTCCGGGTGAAGGAGTAGCTCGGTGCACGAGGTCCGGGGCCACCCTCCCTGTTGGCTTGGGCAACTTAATCCAATGCTCCAGGCCTCAGTTTGTGCCTCTGGAAAATGGGCGCAGTGCTGCCTGCCATGCAGGGATGTGTGTGACCTGTTGAGGTCAGGTGAGAGGGGCTGAACTTAGAAGCCCCAGTGGACAGGAGAAGGTAGGGCAGCAGGGATGGGGTGCTCGGGAGCAGGGCATCGTGGGGCCAGCGGGCAGGGCACGACCTGGGCGGGAGCGCCTGGGAGAGGGGCTGCAGTGGAATGGGTTGGTTCATGTGCCCGGCCCATGTCGGACACTGCGCACAGGGGGAAAGGCCAGCTCAGGACTACACGCAGTGTGACGGTGTGGCAGGGCAGATGGACACGGGGACAGGCACAATCCAGAGTGACAGGAGCCCCGTTTGAGGTCTCTGACCCCACGCCCCTCACCCTCAGTTCCTGCGGAAGTCGACCCAGGGGATCTCCTACTCGCTGTTCGCCTTGGTGATGCTGGGGAACACGCTGTACGGGCTGAGCGTGCTGCTCAAAAACCCCGAGGTGGGCCAGAGCGAGGGCAGCTACCTGCTGCACCACCTGCCCTGGCTCGTGGGCAGCCTGGGTGTGCTGCTGCTCGACACCATCGTATCCTTCCGGGTGTGCGGGGTGGGTGGGGGGTGGGGTGGGCAGGGCAGCCTCTCCCTGTTCGCGGCCTCCACACCCGTCCATCCATCCACCGTCCATCCACCACCCATCCACCATTCATCCACCCACCCACTGTCCATCCACTATCCATCCACCATCCATCCATCCATCCTCCATCCATCATCCATGCACCATCCATCTACCACTCACCCACCATCCATCCATCCATCATCTCTCCATCCACCATCCATCCATCCATCCACCCAGTCATCATCCATCCACCACCCATCCATTATCCATCCATCATCCATCCACCACCCATCATCCATCCATCCACCCACCCATCCATCCACCCACTCACCATCCAGCCAACATCCACCCACCGTCCATCCATCCACCATCCATCCACCATCTATCCATCCAACATCCATCCATCTATCCCTCCATCCATTTATCCATCTATCATCCATCCATCTGTCCATCCATCCATTCAGAGCCAAACCTGTCTGCCATGCGTCCTGCTGGGCACAGGGCCCAATAGTGAGCAAGGACAGGCTGGCCTTGCCTCAGTGGGGAGGCAGACAGGATGCAGGTAACTATAAATAGTTACTATACCCCAGTGACACCGAGTGCCACAGAGAACAACTGCATGAGTGTGTGACTGGGGGCTGTCCTGGGTAAACGGCTTAGCAGAAGCCTCCACGGTGCCCTTTACTCTGTGCCCTGAAGGAGAAGTGGGGCAGAGGCATGGGAGGGGCGTTCCCAGCTCAGGCGGTGCAAAGGCCCTGAGGAACAAGGGAAGGAGAATCAGCCAGAGGAGCGGAGGCGCACAAATTAGAGCTGGAAAAACCAGGGTTCGAATTCTGACTCCACTCTTTCATGGCTGTGTGACATGGAACACACTGTTAACCTCTCTGTGCTTCCGTATCCTCCGCTGCACGGGGGTTGACAGTCGCCGCCTCACCGAGGTAATGGGGCAATTACTCAAGACGAGGCATCCGGAAGCACTGCACACGGCCGGCCTGCGGAGGGCGCGCAGCGAACGTTTGCCAGGCGGCCCTGTTCTTCAGGGCCTCGCTGGGAGAAAGTAAACATGGCCGTTGCTTACACATCTGCTGAGTCCCTGCTGGGTGCAGTGAAAGAGGGGTTGAAGGTCACCTGAGACAAATATAAGATAATGTTGAGTGTCTAGAAAAGTTAAAGCTCTAGGGCCCTCACATGGCCCCGGCCACCTGGTAGACCTCCCAGGACACGTAGGGTGGGAGGAAGGCAAGATCATGGGGGCCGGAGTTGGGGTCGCTGCCTGAGTGGGGAAGACCCCAGCGCTGACTTGGACGGTGAGGTTGGGCTGGGGGCTGGGGAGCTCGAGGACACTCAGAGTGGAGGGTGTGGGCAGAGCAGAGAGAGGCCGGGAGGCGGTGGCTGGCCCTTCCCACCTGCCAGAGTGCGGCGGGGGGGCGGCGGGAGCTCTGCAGGGAGCCCTGGGGGCAGGTCCAACCAGTCCCTGCTTGCTTAGACCTTGACACCGGCCCCTCCAGATCTCCGTGCAGTTCCTGGTCTACAGGAACACCTCCACCCCGGAGCGCCAGCCCCTCCTCCCCGGCTGACCCGGACCCAGGCCACGCCCAGGTGACCGGGATCTCCAGATGCCACACCAAGAAAGACGTGTGGGCAGCCACAGCGCTGTGTGGACTCCGGACTAGCCTGTGGAGGGAGCCATGGTCGGCGGCCTGGTACTCCTGCCCCAGCTGCCTACCCCCAGGCTTCCCAGTCCTCAGGGGCTGGCTCCCCCAGAAGCCTGCCTGACTGACTTCCGGGAGCCGGCCGGCCTCAAGGACCAGCCTCTGCCCTGCCCCTGCTGCAGACTCAGCCCTCTCCCCCCAGGGTCCGAGGCAGCCGTCCCTGGGGGCCTTGAGGGAGGGGCTGCAGCTGGGACCACACCCCTGAGAAAACCTCAGCTCACCTACCTCATCCTGCCCCTCGCCCCCGGGGCAGGACACGGCCGCAGCCAAGTACCCAGGGCCGTGCTGTGGACCGCAGCCAGCCTAGTAAACCGTCCTTCCCGGCCAGGCCTGTTCTGTGACTCCTTCCCAGGGTGCCGGGGTCTGGGCTGCTCTGGGAACAGCGGTGGATGGGGACTGGGGCCCCAGCTTCCAGGGCCCAGGTGGGGGCCGAGAGGGTCAGGCTGTGGGACAGCCCGGCAGGAGGGGACCAAGGCTGCCGGCTGGCCTCCCGGTGGCCTCGTTTCTTCAACCTGCTTCTCTGCGACAGGCTCCACGCCTGGTGGTGGGGACACAGCAGTGAGAATAACACTCCCGCAGGGTACCTGCATCTCGGTGCTCAGGAGGAAGCAGCATAGTTAAGGTGCAGATCTTGGTTCTGCATCTTCCCTGTTCTGTGCCTCAGTTACTCTATCTGAGAAATGGGATGACACTAGTACCACTTCAGATGGTGTGATGAGGGAGTTAGCCCCACAGCCTGGCGTGGAGTAAGAGCTCAAGTTCAGCTGTGATAGTTCTTAGTTGGAGGAGAGGGACAACCAGATCTCCCTAGAGAGAGGCCTTCCTGGAGGGGGCAGCATGGCTGACGGATGAGCAGGCGATGGGGGGGGGAGGGGAAGAGGAGTATCCCCGAGGAAGAGAAGGGGCAAGAGCAGGTGGGGAGGGAGGAGAGGAAGGCAGGGCTCAGGCCTGAGGTGAAACTTGGTTTCTCTCGCCGACTCCATTCTGACTCCCTGTCCCTGTCGGCGGTGACCCTGCGGGTGCCTGGGGCAGAGGGGCCGCTCCCCTCCGAGCTGCCCTGCTCTCCCCCCACACCCCACTTCAGGTTCCCAGGGGTGGGAGCCGTCAGGGTGGCTGGGGGAGAAGCTGACCCTCCGCCTTTCTGTTGGCATCTTCTTCCGGCCCCCGGAGAAAGCAAGGAGCCCCCCAGTGTGGGGCCAGCGATGTGGGGAGGGGTGCTGTGGCATAATTTGGGGCTACAAATCTTCGTGGAGCACAGTCCTCCACACTCGGTGCGGGAAGCCGGGGGTGCAGGGGAGCCCCCCCTTGTCCCTACTCTTAAGAAGGGCAGGACTTGCCAGGCCCTGGTGGGAAGGGGTGGGACCAGAAGGTAAAGTACCATAGGAAGGAGGAGGCAACCAGGGAAGGCTTCACGGAGGAGCAGTCCTGGAGCTGGATCTCGAAGGCAGAGGGAATGGCATGTGCAAAGCCCTGGAGTGGGAGCCCGGGCTGCTCTCTGGTGGGGTTGTGGAAGCAGGGGCTTGCAGCTGGTGACCAGGTTTGGAGGGGGGGAGAGGGGGAGGTTGGGGTGGGGAGGCCAGGGATGGGGTGCCTCTGAGGATGAGGTGGGCAGTGAGGGGGAGGAAGGCCGATGCCCGGCCCTGGGGCGTGCCTGCGGAGCCCCGTGTGTGAGCTGGCGGCAGCTGACGCGTTTACTGAGCACATGCTATGTGTGTGTGTCAGCCAGGCTGTGGCCTGTCATTCCCTCCTGAAAGCCCGGGGTGGGCGCGTGCTGATGGCCATCGAACAGATGGAAAATCGGGCTTTGCAGGGTCGAGCAACTTGCCCAAGGTCGCCCAGCTAGGCCTGGCCGAGGTTTGAACCACATCAGGTCTCGGCTACAGGGGTCATCCCACACTTTGTGGGTGTTGGGGGCCTTCAGGGTACCCTTCCACCCTGGCTAAGGGCCCAGCCTCAGGCTCCCTTCGACACCATGCTGAGCAGTGACCCCCATCCCCCAGCCTCTGGTCTGTTCCATGCCCCAGGCCCCAGCCGGCTCTGGTGCAGGTCCCCTTTGCCAGCCAGCTGTCTGCCCCCGCCAAGGGCTGTGACCTGGCTCAGTGCCTAGTCACCTGGGGCCCGGTGGCGCCCTCCCAGCCTGAAGACCTGGGGCTTGGTGCGGCAACACGGCCCCCTGAGTTAGAGCTGTGTGGCGAAGAGAGAGATGAAATAGCACAGCTCCCCCACCCCGCCCTGGGAAACCCTTCTCTGATGGGGGTGCACCACCCCTTCCTCCTCTGGAAGCCCCAGCCTGATGGGGAGACGTGGCCCCTGCCTGGGGCAGCGCCCTGTCCACTGGTGAACAGGGTCATGCCGGGCCCCGGCACGTGGCAGGTGCCTGGCAGGTAAATGGTGGCCACCTTTGCTTATCCAATACCTGGCAGCTCCCTGGGTCCCTCTGGGAGGTGAAGGGCCAGGCTGAGGGGTTCCGCTGAGCTGACCAGGCCATGCTTGCGGGGGTGGGTCCCTGGGTCAAAGGTCCCCGGTGGATTTCCTTTCTCCCCCTGGGGCTCACACACCTCTTGCTCCTTGCTGCAGGCAGTGGGCAGTACGTTGCGTGTCTCTAGGTGTGGAGAGGCACAGGGACAGCCGGTTGGCAGGCAGATGGCATTCTGCAAAAAGCAGAACCACCCAGAAGCCCCGTCCTCAGCACCCAGTCCCGGGCCCTCCCACACTGGGGTTCCCCTTGATTCTTTGGCAAACCTGGGGTTTTCTGAAGCCTCAGCTTGGACAACACGGCCTTCCGTGCCTAAAACCAAGAAAGGGAGGGAAGTCCCCGATTCAGCCCCCTTCACCCCTCCTCCTGCTGGACTTGGCTTTCATCGGCGCTGGGTAGTGGTGGGACCCTCGAGTCCCTGGGAACAGCCAGGTGCTGCTGAGTCCTAACCACCCAGACGTCCCAGCACTACCCCGACCAGGTCAGTGTCAGCCCCGTGGCAGGGGCAGGGATGGCCTTTTGCTTCAGATGAGCTCAACTAATAACTGCCGATCAGTCCCCCAGCCCTGTGGCAGCCTGAGGACACAGCCCCGCTCTGGCAGACCCAATGGTGACCAGTCTCTGCCCACCCACACTAGAGAGTATGGGCAGAGACCTCTGCCCTGGCCACCATCGTGTCCCCAGCACACAGTAGGTGCTCAGTAAATGCTGGTGAGTGAGTGGAGTGAGTGCCTGAAACGCTGGCCCTCAGGGAGTGGGGAGACGGGCATGCAACCCATGAGCACAATTGAATTGGTACCCCCCCGCTCCGTTCTTGAATTTACACACTTTAAATGGGTAAACTGTCTACATGTGAATTGTGGCTCAATAAAGCGACTTGAAAGAAGATAGAATTGGCTTTTATCAAAATTTGACTGGAGCCCTGGCTGGCATAGCTCAGTGGATTGAGCATGGCTGTGAACCAAAGCATCGCAGGTTCGATTCCCAGTCAGGGCACATGCCAGGGTTGCAGGCCACGGCCCCCAGCAACTGCACATTGATGTTTCTCTCTCTCTCTCTCCCCCACCCCCCTTTCTCCCTCCTTTCCCTCTCTAAAAATGAATAAATCTTAAAAGTTCTGAAAAAAAAAAATAAACACAAGTGTATTGTTTAAAAAATATATATAAATATTTCAAGAACTTAATTTCTTATATAAATTATGAGTTTATATAGAATGTCTATATTATTGTTTTTAAAAACCTAATTGAACAGTCCAAGCAGTGACACAAATTATAATGAAACTTTTTATGGAACAAGAAAACAGCACCACCAACTAGTCCTTTAAAAAAGCATCTAATAACTCACCTGCCCCCTGGAGAACGGAGACGTGAACTGCAGAACCAGTAGCAGAGCTCTGAGTAGTCGTAGGGAGCACACGTTCTGACGGAAGTCACAACTGGGCAAGGCGTGATTGCACAGTCCGGTTTTCCAAATGTTAGTTATAGTGAGCAAATAGTTGTAAAAGGAGACCTTTAACTTACATGCAAATTCTAGAATATATACTTCAGAGCATTAATTTAACTTCCGTGCTTGGAGGGAGACAGATTCACGTGTATCAAGTTTGAGAAGACCTGGCTACAGAGGCTGGAAAACAAGCACTTACTCACCAGGAGGACTATCCCGCGGACCCCTGAGGACCCCTGCTTCCCGTGGAGGACCTGCTCCGCCTCCTCGGCTTCTCGGGAAGGTTCCAGGCCAATGCCGGCCCCTGGGCCCAGTGACTGGCCTGAGGAGGCGCTCCGCACAGGTTCCCTCCCCCCTGCAGCCCCTTCAGGCCCACGGGCCACCAGCATAAGTGCACCCAGTGGGCAGAGGCAGGCTGCAGCCCCGGGGCCCAGAGGGCTGGTCCAGGGCTCCTCCAGGCCGTTCCCTCAGCCTCCCCTCCTGCCCCAGGAGCGCTCCGGAGGCCCCTCACCTGAGAAACCCGCCGTCGGAGCCCCTTGCTCCCAACCACAGCCGCCCAACTCAGCACCGGAGAACGAGCAGCGATGCGCCCAGGGAGGATTCTAGAAGGTGGGCGGAGTAAGGTCAGGCCTGGCACACATCCCAGCCCCAATTTCTGGGTTTCCAGCGTTGTTTTTGGTCCCGTGATCGAAGACTGATGAAAGGGAAAGATCCACTTACTCAGCACCTTCTGTGTGCCCGGCACTCCGCTCACCCACCTCCCTGAAGCTGTCACCCGCTAGCCACACAAGGAACTGCCTTGGGGTGCCCCCCGCCACAGGGTGCCACATGCAGAGCCACATAGGGCCAGGACCCGCCTCCTCTCCAGCCGCCATCTCCCCCCACCCCACCCCGGCACCTGGAGGGCACTCAGTGCGGCGGTGTCTCTCTCAATAAAGAGATGCCCCACCTGGGGCTCTGTCAGACCCAGCAGAGAGAAGCTGGGACCAAGGAGTGGGGGTCGGGGACATCGAGGACCCAGGCACATCAAACCAGGGGAGCCGGCCAGGCTGGAGGCCTGAGCAAAGCCATAGGCCGGCTCGGAAGCTTCCTCCGGTCCCTGAGCGCCATGGCAACAGGAGGCCCCAGGTGTGCAGGCCTTCACCAGCAGGTGCTCACTACCAGGAAAGGGGAGCAGGGAGCAGCTCTGGGAGGAGCAGCGCTGGGGACCTCCCACTTCGGGGCTCGTGTGACACCGGCCCCAGCACTTCAGGGAGGGGTGCTGGGGTGTCCCACGGAGGGGCTGGGAGCAGCAGCTCTGGGGCTCTGCAAAGATGCCTCTCCTTCCCACTCCACGACCAGCGCCCTGCCCCCCCAACCCCGCCCCTCACTCTGCGAGGCTGCTACCTGCGCCCGCCTGCAGCCGC